GAAATATATAATAAATAGTATATGTACTATATATATGATAAGTAATAAAAGTGTCTCAAAAACTATAGGTAATAAATGTATTACATGTAACAAATCTCGCGTAGTAATTATCAGCTAATCAGATCGTACGAATATTGTAAAAAGGCTAGAACTTCATTATCTCGAGATTCTGTGATTAGATTTTAATAATTCTTAGCTCATTAGAACCGTTTTAGTAAGCTGATTCCAATAGTATGTGTTTTATCCAAATTGGACTAGTAAATCAAAAGTTATTAAGAATTTTGTATTTTTTCTTAATGTTTTATATGTTAACAATACTTATTTTTTTTTTTTTTTTTTTATATTCAGGCAATCTTGCCTTTTATTTATTAAGAAAAAACATAAAAAATGTTACAACAAAATTATAAACTAAACTAAACTAGTTATAAAATTACCTTTTTTAAATAATTCTAGACTCATTTAGCTATTTAATATACTTAGGTATGATCTGCTATAATAACAAATTTTTTTCACTAAAAAATAGAATGCTAAAGCAGAGTTATATTCTTAAGATCTGCAGAAGGCTGTTATATACCCATATCAAAAATACCTAATTGTTTTTAAGACTTAACTAACTTTTTTTTATTCTTTTTTTAATCTAATTGATAATTTTGAAATCTGCCTCTTCTAATATTCTTCTTTCTTTAATCTAACTTAACTTTTTAAAGTCTTCTTACAAAGTATTCTAATTTTCTTTATTTGTTTTGTTCTTTTTTACTTTGTTTCTTTTTTAGAAGTTAGTCTTCTTTCTCTTTTTTTTAGTATTAATATTGTTTCTTTTTTCTCAATCTGTTATAACTTCACAGCAGAATTTCCAAGTTTTCTCAAAAAAATTTGATCAGAAAATTTCTGTAAACCAACAAATAGTTTTGTTTACTTTGGATACTAAGTCTAGTAAATCTTTTGTTTCTAATACTAAACTTGCATTTGTTAGTTCACATATATAGAGTTTTCTTCTTTGAAGTTGAGTTTCTTTACTTAGACTTAGAAAAATATTATATAGACTTTGTATCAAAATTCTGACTTCCCATTTAGAGCTAAGCTTATATTCTAGTTCTTCTATAATCATCTTTTTTACTTTTTCTTAAATCTTCTAATAGATCTAATAATCTGCTAGATGCTTCAAAGATTCTACTTTTGCGATACAAGCAATATAAGTTTTAGTTTAATATAGTATAGGGTTCTTTTGATAGTATATATCTTTTGTTAGTAAAAACTTGTTTAGATATTTTATTCTAAATATTAATACTTTACTCTTTTTAATACTTAAACATTTTTTTTTTTGTAGGTCTTTTAGTATATTCTATATATTTTTCTAATTTAAATTGTTGTTATATTAATCTCCTATACTTTGATTTAAAATTAGTTTAATACTATTTAAATTTGTCTATTCATTTTTATATACTGTTATTGTAGTTAAATTAATGAAGGATCTTAGTACTGTATCTATTATCTTATTTTTCTATAATAGAAAAACTTGTATTTTACTTGTTATTACTTCTTAAGTTTCAAATATAAGATCTAATAGCAGGCCGTTTTTTGCTAATTAATCTATTCTATTATTTCAAATATTTGAGCTATACCTTTTAACTTTGATTAATTCTAGCTTAAGTTCTTTTGTTTTATAACAGTTTATAATTTGATTAATTAAACTATAGTTTTTAGCATTAAAGTTCTTTTTTATGTTCATCAATTTTTAAAAATTTTGAATTCTTTCAATTGCTACTTTACTATCAGAGAAGATTCTTATGTTTGCTTTATATAGAGCTACTAATAGGACTGCTCAAATTATATCTAGTTTAGCATAAATTGAAGAGAGCTAATCTATTATTCTACTATTAAAACTAATATAAGGACTTCTATAATTATTAACTACTATAACCTAACCTATACTTATCATTTTAACCTTTTTATTATCTATTATATTAGCTACTATAGACCTGTTCAGTGTTAGAAATCTGATGTTCTCAATGTTCTCGAAAACATAAAAATATTTTTGAGAACATAATATATAAAAATTATATTCTCATTCTAAAAACATAATTTTTAATATAGTTAATAGTATTTTAAGAATATAAAATTTTTTAAAACTTTATTAATAAAAACATAAATTCAAAATTTTATGTTCTCAAAAAATAAAAATTTTTTTTCAGATTTCCTTCACTAGACCTGTCTATGTAAATATCTAAAACTTTTTCTTCTTTAAGTTCACTAGCTATTCTACTTAACTCTATTTGTAATCTTTTATCTTTAACTACTCTTTGTATTGCTGTCTCTTCTATTTCTGCAATACTAATTTCTATATTTCTTCTATTATTAGCAAGTTCTGAATTGTTTAGTTTTCTATTACTTATATAAGCTATAATAGATATCTTTATATATACAACTTCTTCACTTTTTTATACTTTTCTAACTACTTGATACTAGCTTTCTTGCTTGTATCTAATTATACAACTCATATTATTATATTTTTTTAGATTACAACTTTTGCATTTCTCAAAAGTAATATGATTATTGTTGTTATTATCTTCTCTCACTACTTAATTATGATAGACTTAGATTCTTTCTTTATAACTTATCTACTTTCAATACTTTGTGTTTTCTTGAAAACTATCTATTCTTTTTTCCTCTTGTCTGCAGATATTTTTAAAGCTTTATATCTTATTGCTTTCTGATTAGAAGCTTCTATCTGGTATTCTGCTTTCAATAATTTAGTATTTGAGTTTTTAAGAACTTCTTCTTCTATTTTTTAAACCAATTTGATTTCTGTTCTTTACTTTTGAAGCTTCTAATTAATTTGACTTGTTACTATATTAGTAGTAATATATTATCTTTTCTTATAATTAACTACTTAAGTATGAAGATATTTATATTGTTGTTGTTTTTGTAGTTATTCACCTCTTTTTTATCTAATATACTTAATAAGCTGATATCTTCTATATTAATTTTAACTTCATATAAGCTACTCTCTTGAAAGCTAAACCTAATTTTTCTTGTCTCTACTATCACTTTAAACACTAGATTATATTTGATTTTCATATCTTTTAACTTCTCACTACTATTTAGAATATTATCTAAGTACTCTTTAATTAAACTTCTCTAATTCTTAATCTTGTAGTAATTTCTACCTTATTTTGTTTATTTATATATATTGTAAGCTCTATAATATAGTGTGCTAGTTAGTTTTGTTATATTGTAAATATATCTAAAATTCTCCTATAACTATACATACTATTTAGAGCTGATTTAGCTAGATCTAACTTATTTTTAATTAATATCCAAATTGGTCTCTGTATTTGTTTACAAGTATTTTTAGATAGAAATAAAGTTTGAAGCCTATATTTAATACTAGGTATTAAGATACTATTGTTTAAGGGTAGGGGGTATGTAGATCCTTTTTTATATAAAACCTATGAAAATATTTTTTCTTTTTATAATTACAAAAATATTTACTAAGTAAATTATATTTAGACTTTTAATTAAAATTGTAGAATAAGT